GGCCTCCAGCTTCTCGCAGGCCTCAGGCGCCCGCCGGATGGCTGTGGGGAGGCAGAGCTGAGCCCCAGGCGGCTCACGCGGAGAGCCCTGCCCGCCCCAGGCAGCAACACTGACCTTGGACGACGGTCAGGACGGTGTGGGGCCGGTCCAGGGAGATGGCCAGGCCCAGCGCCTGCAGGTAGCGCCCCTCGTGCAGCAGGTTGCTCAGTTCTTGCTGTCTGGGGACGGGGCGAGGGCTAGGGGGCTGCCACGCCCAGCCCCGCCCCGCCCCAGCCGGGGCCCGGGGTGGCCCCCACACCCTGCTCCGAGACCCGCGGAGGCCCACTCACTTGACCACCTGCTCCTCCAGCCTGGCCTGCTGCTCCGCCTGCTCCGCCTCAGTCACGTCCTGGGGTCGGGAGGGTCAGCCCCGCGGCGCCCCTCGCCCCTCCCCGCCCCGCCCCAGGGCCACCCACCTTCCAGAGGATGACACAGGAGTCGCTGGCCCCAGTGAGGGCACGGTCATCCCGCCGGCTGCAGTGCAGCCCCCAGACCTTGTCCTCGTGGGCGTCCAGCGTCCGCACGCACGCGTTGCTCTTGATGGTCCAGAGCTTCACCAGCCCGTCGGAGCCGCTGCAGGGGTGGAGAGGGAGGCTCGGCGCCGACCGGATTCCGACAGCCCGGCCCGGCCCACCCCGCCCCTCACCTGGACAGCAGCTGCGTGCCACGGCTCACAAAGGCCACCTTCAGCACAGACGTGTCGTGCCCCTCGAATGTCTGTGGGGGTGGGAGGGTGTGAGATGCCGCGGGGGGCCGGGCGGGCCCTGGCCGGGGGTGGGGGCAGCTCACCTTCAGGCAGCTGAAGTCCTGCAGCGCCCAGAGCTTGATGGTGCCGTCAGCCGAGGCTGTGGCCAACACCTGGTCCATGGGGGAGAACTGGACACACCAGAGGCCACGCCGGTGGCCTGAGAAGACGCCCAGCAGCTGACACTGAGGCAGGGCCCAGAGCTTGGCGGTGCGGTCCTGCGAGGCTGTGGCCAGCAGCTTGTCATTGGGGGCGACGGCCACACTGTTGATGTCCTGGTGACGGGAGCAGCACACTCAGACCCAGCCGTCACCACAAGGCCCTTGCCCTGCCAGCACGCACGTGCGGTCACCTTGTCGTGGCAGCGCTGAGTGGCCTGGGCCTGGAGGACGACAGGGCCCGCGTCCGGGGCTGTGCTCGCGGACAGCAGGTCTGCCGGGAGCGGCCACAGCTTCACGGTGCAGTCCTGGCTGCCGGTCACCAGGAAGGACTCCTTCAGCCTGAGGCCCGAGCAAGCGCGGACAGACGCCAGTCAGCCCCGCGTGGCCCGACGGAGGCAGGGCCGGTTGCCCCGCCCGCAGCGCCCGACACGGGCACCCCCGCCTCTGAGCCCGCCCCGCCCCGCAGCTGGAGTCCCGGGGCCCAACGAGCCTCACCTGGAGCAGCAGATGGCGCCCACGCTGTGCGCGTGCCCAGAGCCCCGAGCCACACAGACCACCTGCCCAGCCCTGCTCAGCCTCCAGACGCGAACGCTCTGGTCCTGGGGGTGGGAGCAATGAGGACAAAGTGGGCAGTACCCCCCGCCCCCGCACCTTTGGGCGCCTCACCTTGGCGCAACTGGCGAAGAGCCGCCCCCTGCGGAACACGTCCAGAGCCAGAACCGTGTCTACGGGACAGGGAGGGTCAGAGGAGGCCCCCCGTGGGCACGGGGGCGGCAGCCCCGGCCGACGGCGCTCCCACCTGTGTGGCCGTGCAGGATCTGGCAGGCCGACGTCTCCAACTCGAACACTTTCAGGCACGGGCTGTTGGAGGCCACGACGACGTGGGAGTCCCCGGGTCCCAGGAACCGGACGTCCATCACCTCCTCGCTGTAGCCCGCAAACTGCCGGGCCGGGGA